CACGGCAACGATGGTGGACGGTACGAAACTTCCCATCCACGGCGAAGCATCAGTGCAGCTGCACATAGGGGCGCTGAGGTGGAAGCCGACGTTGCAGATCACAAACATCAAAGGTTCATATTTCATCTTAGGGCGGGATTTCTTGAAGCTGTTCAACCCCGAGATCGATTGGGTCAACAGGAAGGTGTGCATCTACAACAACGGGAAGCGGATAGCACTACGAAGCTGGACGGATACAGGGAACGTTCATGAAACAACACTGGCATGGTTTGAATAGACGGTGAACGAGAGTAACACGGGATACCTAGGACTGGTTATGGCAGCAGCAGAGGAGGAGAAGCCGAACACAGAGCTACCTGCAGCAGTGAAGGAGGTCTTGGAGCAGTACAAGGATATAATGCCCGACGACCTACCCGCAGGCGTACCTCCGGCACACACCCACGAGCACGAGATCGTGGAAGAACCAGGTGCGAAACCCGTCTCACGTGCACCATACCGACTGAGTCCGACCGAACTGACAGACATGAAGAAACAGATTGAATATCTACTATCGGAACTATGTTGTAGGTTGTAGTGGGGCACTCCTTGTGGGGTACAGTATTGTTAGGTTTTGCCTATACAAACCTTGTACTGCCCTGTTTCTAGCCATTCCTCGTTCTTGTTCTGACATGGTATCAGAGCTTTCGTCCCTAGGGCCCCCCGAACGTTCCGCCCTGCCCTAACTGAATTTTTTTTTAGCTGCCCTTGCAGCCCGCGTGCTGCCCCTGCAGCCGTGCCTGCCCCGGCAGCCGTGCCTGCCCCTACAGCCGTGCCTGCCCCTGCAGCCCGTGGGCGCGGCCTCTGCGGCCCGCGCACCGCCCTGCCGAGCCGCGTGTCACCCCTGCAGCCCGTGGGCGCTGCCTCTGCAGCCCGCACGCCGCCCTCCCGACCCGCGCGCAGCCCCTGCAGCCCGTGGGCGCTGCCCCTGCGACCCGCGCGCCGCCCTGCCGAGCCGCGCGTCGCTCCTGCTCGTCGCGACGCCCGTGCGGGACCCGCACGGCGTCCCCCCTGCTCGTCGCGGCGCCCCCTGGGCGCCGTCCCTGCTCGTCGCGGTGCCCCCTGGACGCCGCCCCTACTCGTCGCGGCGCCCCCGGGGCGTCGTCCCTGCTTGTCGTGGCGCCCCCTGGGCGCCGTCTCTACTCGTCGCGGCCCCCCCCTGGGCGCCGTCCCTACTCGTCGCGGACCCCACCTGCCGCAGTCGCGGCCCCGCCCTGCAGCAGCTGCCGTGGAGCCCCCTGCAGCAGTCGCGGCCCCGCCCTGCAGCAGCTGCCGCGGAGCCCCCTGCCGCAGTTGCGGTCCCGCCCTGCAGCAGCTGCCGCGGAGCCCCCCTGCCGCAGTTGCGGCCCCGCCCTGCAGCAGCTGTCGCGGAGCCCCCTGCCGCTGTTGCGGCCTCGCCCTGCAGCTGTCGCGGCCCCGCCATCGCCGCTGTCGTGCGCCTACCCTGCCCGCCACTGGTGAGCACCTGCCCTACCCGCCTGCCTTACTAGCGCGCTGCTGCGCTGGCCTGCCTGCCGCGCCTGCCTGCCAGCCGAGCCGCGCCGCCCAGCTGAGCCGAGCCGCTCAGCGGCGCCGAGCCGCCCACTCGAGCCACGTCGTGCTGCCGGGCTGTGCAGCCCTGCTCTACTGAGCCGCACTGCCCTGCCCGCACTGCTGCTACTGCTGTTACTGCTGCTACTGCTGCTACTACTGCTACTACTGCTCCTGGCGGTGGCCAGATGCAGCTCCATCGACGTCAGCGTGAGTCCCTCACACCCCAGCAGCTTCGTGAGTGGTACGCTAGTTGGGGTTGTAGGGGTGGCCGTGGTGGGAGTCGCCCCGGAGCGGGTCGTTCGGGAGCTTCTTGTAGTGGCCAGGTGCAGGTGCAGCGGCGTCCGCGCGATATCCTTTCGCCCTAGCAGCTTCGTGAGAGGTACGCTAGTTGGGGTTGTAGGGGTGGCTGTGGTGGGAGTCGCCCTGGAGCGGGTCGTTCGGGAGCTTCTTGTAGTGACCAGGTGCAGCTGCAGCTGCATCCGCGCGCGATCCTTTCGCCCCAGCAGCTTCGTGAGTGGTACGCTCAGAGTAGAGGGTCACGGAGTACTGCTCGCTGCCCGTACGTCATTCGCACTGGTGCTCGGGCTGGTCAGCCTTGCGGGACGGTTGGTTATACAGAGTCCCGCTGCTTCTCATGTCTCAGCGACGCCTGGCGTATAGAGTTTGGCGACGACGCTGAGCTCCCCTCCTGGCTGGAGCTGCTTAGGCAGAGGGTAGATATCTTTGCTCTTGACTATGATGCTATCCTCACTGCCATGTATGCATTACCTACTAGTGCTGAGGGTGCGTATTACCTGTGTGTGCCGCCTGACCCAGGTATAGAGTCTGCTGCTCTAGGTGCTGATGAGGCTGCTGCTCTAGGTGCTGGTGCGTCTCCTGCTCCAGGTGCCGGTGAGGCTGCTGCTCTAGGCGCTAGTGAGTCCACTGCTCCAGGTGCTGGTGAGTCTTCTTTCTCTGGTACTGCGCCTACTACAACCTTGCACACTTTCACCCTTGACTCGGGTGCTTCTCGCTCCTTCTTTCGCGACTGCACCACACTCTCGCCGCTCAGTCGGCCAGTGGCAGTCTCTCTGGCTGACCCCTCTGGGGGTCCGGTCCTTGCATACTCCTCCACGGTTCTGCCCTGTCCGGCGGCCCCGTCTGGCTCTCTGTCTGGCCTCCACCTCCCCTCGTTCTCCACGAACTTGGTGAGTGGAGCTGACCTTCAGGACGCGTAGGTTGACCAGTTCACTCCTGGAGGTCAGCGGGTGACCCACTCTTCGTGTACTCGGACGGGCCAGCACCTGGCCACGTTCACCCGTCAGCCTGGGTCGAGCTTGTACACCCTGACTACCGTGTCTCCTCCGGTTGCTGAGTCTGGTCAGGTAGCTGCGTTGGGTCAGGTGTTTGTTGCAGCGTCCCGGTCTGGTCGGGAGTCTGCCCCCTGCTCCTGTCGCCTCCTGTCTCACCAGACTCTCCTCTGGCACCACCGCCTTGGTCACCCCTCCCTGCCTCGTCTCCAAGGCATGGCCTCCCGTGTCCTTGTCACTGGTCTTCCCCGATCTCTCCCTCCCCTTCCCCCGGGGCCTGCCCCTACCTGCGTTCCTTGCGTCGAGGGGCGGCAGCGCGCCGTTCCTCATTCCTCCGAGTTCCCTCCGACGGAGGCTCCCCTTCAGACGCTTCACATGGACGTGTGGGGCCCAGCCCGCGTCCGTGGACAGGGTCACGAGCGCTACTTCTGCTGGTCGTTGACGACTACTCGCGTTACACCACAGTCTTCCCCTTGCACCGCAAGGGTGAGGTCACTGAGGTGCTGATCGACTGGATCTACGCTGCCCGTCGTTAGCTCAGCGAGAGTTTCGGCTCGGACCTTCCTGTTCTGCGTCTGCACTCCGACAGAGGTGGAAAGTTTTCCTCCGACTTTCTGCGAGCCTTCTGTCGTGCGGAGGGCATCCGCCAGACGTTCACGCTTCCGGCCTCTCCGCAGAAAAATGGGATTGCTGAGCGCCGCATTGGCATGGTCATGGATGTCGCTCGTACGTCCATGATCCATGCGGCTGCTCCCCATTTTCTGTGGTCGTTCGCGGTTCAGTACGCGGCGCATCAGCTCAACCTCCAGCCCCGGGTCTCCATGTCGGAGACCACACCTACTCTGCGGTGGACGGGGAAGGTTGGCGATGCGTCTGCATTCCGTGTCTGGGGATCTCGAGCTTTCGTCCGCGACTTGTCTGCGGACAAGCTGTCCTCCCGTGCTGTTCCCTGCGTCTTCCTTGGCTTCCCTCCTGACGCGCCTGGTTGGCAGTTTTACCACCCCACCTCGCGCCGTGTTCTGTCCTCTCAGGACGTCACGTTTGACGAGTCGGTTCCTTACTACCGTCTCTTCCACTACCGCACTGCCCCCCTCCCCCCCCCCGCTCTTCCTCGTGCCAGGTCCTCCCCCGGTAGACTCCCCTCCCCCCTCAGGGTCCTGCCCCCTCAGGTGTGTCCCACGTAGACGCAGTCGAGCCTGTCGAGGTAGCTGTTGACTGTGGTGCTGCTAGGGGTGCCGAGCCTGCGGGTGCTGGGTCTAGGGGTGCTGAGCCTGAGCGTGTGGAGTCTGGAGGTGCTGAGCCTGGAGGTCCTTCGAGTGCTTCGTCCCTGCGGGAGCCACTCTCTCCACAGCAGCTGCGCGAGTGGTTTGCTTGGTTCTGGAGCCATGCTGCTGGAGCTGGTGGTGCTACGGGCGCTGGAGGTCCTGCTGCTGCTAGAGCTGCTGGGGGTTCTGGAGCCGCTGGTCCCGGAGGTGCTAGTCCTGGAGGTACTGGAGCTGCTAGGCCTGGTGGTGCTGCTGGAGCTGGAGCTACTGGAGGGGCTGGAGCTGGCGGTGCTGCTAGAGCGGGTGCTGCTGGAGCCACTGGAGCTGGCGCTTCTGGAGCTGCAGGGCCTTCTGGTGGTCCTGCTGGAGCTGGTGCTGCTGGAGGTGTCACGAACGAACGTAATCTAGGCAACGGGTGTAGCTAGTAGGCCTAGGCTTCGTAGCCTAGGCCAAGCGGGTGTCGAGTAGTTTGTGCCAAGGAGAATTGAAGAATGGTTGATTGGTTCACTATAGCACACGAGTACATATAGCAACCAAACAAAGATGAAAGAGGTGCACCACCATACAAGGGAATTACACAGTAGCTACACTACAGGCAGATTATACTAAATAGATATATATCTATTGTGACACACCCCCCATCTGCCTGAAGTGCATAACCATGTGCAGAGCCCCCCTTGAAGGGGTACACCTGTAAAACCCCATTACAGGGCGTGGGAACACCAGCAAGGGGCCCCCTCTGAAGCTGACAAGCAGCAACCACCAAGCAGCATCTGGACCACCGCGGTGGAACAGGTGCCCGGCTGTGGTTGAACGCCCCGCAGCTGGTGCACGGTGTGCGAGGAGCACGGGTACGGGTAGCGGGTTCGGGTAGCAACTAGGTGCTGTACGGGACGGGCCGCACGGGGGTGACGGGCAGCACGAGACCGGGCAGCACAGACCGGGTGGGGCACGATCGAGAACTGACAGCACGGGTGGGGCACGAACGGGTACGGACAGCACGGGTAGGGCACAAACGAGCAGAACGGGGCAGCACGGGCAGAACGGGGCAGGACACGGGCTGAACGGGGCAACACGGGCAGAGCGGGGCAGGACACGGGCTGAACGGGGCAGAACACGGGCTGAACGGGGCAACACGGGCAGAACGGGGCAACACGGGCAGAGCGGGGCAGGACACGGGCTGAACGGGGCAACACGGGCAGAACGGGGCAACACGGGGACAACGGGGCAGCACAGGCAGAACGGGGCAGGACAAGGGCTGAACGGGGCAACACGGCACGGGAACGGGCACGACACATGCAGAACGGGGCAGCACGGGGGCAGCATGGAAACACGGGGGCAGCACGGGAACACGGGGACAGCACGGGAACACGGGGACAGCACGGGAGCAGCACGGGAACACGGGGACAGCACGGGAACACAGGGACAGCACGGGAACACGGGGATAGTACGGGAACCCGAGGACAGCACGGGAGCAGCACGGGAACACGGGGGGCAGCACGGGAGCACGGGGGCAGCTCAGGAGCACGGGGGCAGCACGGGAAGCACGGGACGCACGGGTGAAACGGGTGGGGCACAACCGGGTACGGACAGCACGGGTGAAACGGGTGGGGCACGGGGCAAGCACGGGGAACTCGGGCAATACGGGAGGTACGGGGCAGGGGATGAGAGGAGGAGGCGGCTGATGCTGCATATGAACGCTCACCACCCACACCCCCTGAACCTTTCCCCCCACAGCAGCATTGACGGAGAAAGAGAGGTGGAGGTGTAGTGGCGGTAGGTTCTCCAGCTGAATCACCCACCCCCTCAACCTCCCCCCCAACAGCAGCAGATGCAGGAGTGAGAAAGAGGAGGAGGGGGCGGCTGGTGCTGCAGCTGGACTCACCCACCCACACCCCCTGATCCAGCAGTGGCGGAGAGAGAGAGGGGGAGGTGTGGCGGCAGTAGCTGCAGATGGATCACCCACCCCCTCAACCTCCCCCTTACATGAGCCGCCAACCCCGCCACTCCCCCTCCCCCAGCCGTCCCCTTCGGGCCACACCTCCTCCCCTTCCCGCTGGAAACGGAGTCGGAGATGGGGGTGGGCCGGCAGTTATCGGTGGGGGGGGGCGGGATCTGGGGCAGAACGGCGGTCTGGGTGCAGGTACGGGGTGCGGACGGGTCTCGCGGACGGGGGCACGGACGTCGTGCATGGTGCGGATGGCGTACGGGCGGCGGGCGGGGTGCGGGGTGCGGGTGGAGTACGGGCGACGGGCGGGGTGCGGGGTGCGGGTCGCGGACAATCTGGCGCATGCAAGGGCGTAGCAGCAGCTTCTCCCGCCACTCTCTTCACAGCAGTTGCGAAGTCGACGGGAGGGCGGGCGGGGACCTGGCGACGGGCAGCGGAGAGCGTACGGGTGGCGGGGATTTGGCGATGGGCGGCAGTGCGACGGGACGGGCGACGGGCTGCAGCAGCGGATATCGCGCGGGCGGCGGGATGCAGTTGCGGGTAGCGTGTCGGCGACGGGCATGCTGGCGGGTTCGTCGGCGGGCTGACTCGTGCGCTGGCGGAACCGACGGCGGGTCCGTCGGCGGGTTTGCTGACGCACGCATTGGCGGGTCGGCTGGCTCGCTTGCTGGCGGGCTCGCGGGTCCGATGGCGAGCTCGCTGGCGGGTCCGTCGGCGGGTTCGTCGGCGGGTCCGTCGGCGGGCTTGCTGATGCGCGTGCTGGCGGGTCCATCAGCGGGTCCGCTGGCTCGCTTGCTGACGGGTCCACGGATCCGCTGGCTCTCTTGCTGGCGGGTCCGCGGGTGAATTGGGGCCATAACGGTAGGGCGCGACGAGCGCCCTCGCGCAGGTCGTCGTCGCTAGCGCAGCAGCAGCGGGACAGCGAGCCGGTGGGACGACGCGCGAGCGACGGGTGGGGCCAGCGATGTGCGTAACGGGTTGCACAACGGCCCGATCGACGGGGCGCGCCATAACGACAGACGGTGGTGGGCCCATTGACTTAGGTGTAGGATCTTAGTAGCTCGATACCATATCACGAACGAACGTAATCTAGGCAACGGGTGTAGCTAGTAGGCCTAGGCTTAGTAGCCTAGGCCAAGCGGGTGTCGAGTAGTTTGTGCCAAGGAGAATTGAAGAATGGTTGATTGGTTCACTATAGCACACGAGTACATATAGCAACCTAACAAAGATGAAAGAGGTGCACCACCATACAAGGGAATTACACAGCAGCTACACTACAGGCAGATTATACTAAATAGATATAAATCTATTGTGACAGGAGGTGCTGGCGCTGGAGGTGCTGCTGGAGCCGGTGCTCCTGGGGGTGCTGGAGTTGACGCTGCTGGAGCTGCTGGAGGTGCTGCTGGAGCTGGTGGTGCTGCTGGAGCTGGAGCTGACGCTGGGGGTGCTGGTGCTGTCCCTGCTGGTTCTGGAGGCGCTGCGCGGCCGCGGCCGTACTTCGTTCCGCTCCTTCAGCAGGTTCTTGGTCTCCCGCCTTCTACTGGTCCTGCTCCTTCCTTAGAGTGTCCACCGCCCGTCCAGTCGCAGTCACAGTTACAGCCCGCCTTCCCACTGCCTGCTCCTTCTCCTTACACTGGTCCGACCGGAGGTCTTACGGAGCGTCGTGAGCCTGAGTCTCGTCCTGCGTCGCCTGTTCGTGCTGCTCGCACTAGTCGTCGTGGTTCGCGTCAGCGTCCTCCTCCTGTCTCTGGCACGCACCAGATGGCTCTGTGTCCATCCACTGCTCCGCAGCGTGTCCCTCTGCTGTCTCCTCCTGCGTCCTCTCTTCCTGCCCTTGCTGACCTGGAGTCTGACTCCCTTCATGCTGCTAGTCCTACTGTCACACGTCTCCTGGCCACTGTTGTCACTGACCCTTCCTTTGAGTCCACTGTTGCGTCTGCCTTAGTTGCTGAGCTTGTCGACTTTGCTGCTCACTGTCGTCTAGACTACGCCGCTAGCCTTGTTGCTAAGTTTGAGTCTCTCTGTCCTCCGTCCGTCGGGGGTGAGTGTGCTCTTGGCATGGACGCCCTTGAGGACAGGAAGGAGGACTTTGAGTGCTTTGCAGCTGCTGTACCTCATCTCGTGTCCATGCTGATTGCACCTGAGGGAGACCCGGATGCACCAGACATCCCGACCCTGCGCTCTTGCTCAGAGGCGATAGAGGGTCCCTACTCCTCTCAGTGGCAGTCAGCCATGGACGCAGAGATGGCATCCTGGAAGTCTACAGGCACTTACGTCGACGAGGTTCCTCCTCCTGGGGCGAACATCGTTAGCGGCATGTGGATTTTCAGGGTGAAGCGGCCGCCAGGTTCTCCGCCTGTCTTGAAGGCGTGTTGCATTGCTCGAGGCTTCAGTCAGCGACAGGGAGTTGCCTTCTTCCAGACCTTCTCCCCGACCCCGAAGATGACCACTCTTCGGGTTCTGCTGCACGTCGCTGCTCAGCGTGACTACAAGCTTCACTCTCTTGACTTCAGCACTGCTTTCCTACAAGGCAGCCTGCACGAGGAGATCTGGCTGCGCCGCCCACCTGGCTTCACTGCCCACCTGGCTTCACTGGGTCGTTTCCTCCTGGTACCCAGTGGAGTCTCTGGCGGCCAGTCTACGGTCTCCGCCAGGCACCCCGCGAGTGGCACGACACACTGAGGACTACACTTGCGGCTCTTGGGTTTGCTCCTTCCACTGCTGACCCGTCGCTGTTTCTTCGCACCGACACTACTCTGCCGCCGTTCTACATCCTCGTGTACGTCGACGACTTGGTCTTTGCTACTGCTGACACTGCTGGACTCGCCCACGTGAAGTCCGAGCTGCAGAAGAGACACACGTGCACAGACCTGGGTGAACTGCACAGCTATCTTGGCTTGCAAATCACCCGGGACAGAGCACGGCGCACCATTACCTTGACTCAGTCACACATGGTGCAGCAGGTCCTTCAGCGCTTCAACTTCACGTACTCCTCGCCTCAGGCCACTCCTCTGTCTACTCGCCACTCGCTCTCAGCTCTGCATTCGGATGAGTCCGTAGAGCCGAGTGGCCCGTACCCAGAGCTTGTTGGCTGCCTCATGTACCTGATGACCTGCACTCGACCTGACCTGGCATACCCTCTTAGCATCTTGGCACGCTATGTTGCTCTTGGGAGACACCGACCAGAGCACATGGATGTAGCTAAGAGGGTGTTGCGCTACCTGTGCAGTACGTCGGGCATGGGGCTCGTGCTTGGAGGACGGGCTCGAGTTGTCCTCACTGGTCACGCAGACGCTTCTTGGGTTGACGACTTGGCTACGCAGCGGTCGTCACAGGGTTACACCTTCAGCCTTGGTTCCGGCTCTGTTTTGTGGCGGTCTACCCGCTCGTCTTCTGTTCTCAGCTCCAGTTGTGAGGCTGAGATCTACGCTTGGGCCATGGCTGCACAGGAGTTACGCTGGCTCACCTACCTGCTTGCCAACTTGGGAGAGGCGCCTCGTTCTCCTCCAGTTCTGTACGTCGACAACAAGGCCATGCTGGCCTTGTGTCAGGAGCACAGACTGGAGCACAGAACAAAGCACATTGCTCTGCGCTACTTCCTTGCTCGAGAGTTATAGCAGCGTGGTCAGCTTCGTCTTGCTTACGTGGCCTCTCGGGCCAACACCGCTGATATCTTTACCAAGGCCCTTCATCCTTGTGATCATCAGCGTTTTTGTACTATCTTAGGTCTTGTGCCTACCTGGCCTCACTTGCTTACCTCTTGACTTTGCTTGTACTGTGATCTATATATACCTGCACTTGCATGCGTACCCTTGCTAGGTTGAGTTCACTGTCTTGCTTGTTCACCTTGATTTATAATCCTGCATGTGAACTGGCCTTGTGGCCTTGTACTTGTGCTAAGACTGTGTGGTGATGTTGTGATCCACCCTGGGCTTGACCTTGCCTTGTTCTCTTGCTTGTCCCCCACTTTGCCTATGGGGTTGTGTCAGAACTTTGTTGTAGGCTGTAGTGGGGCACTCCTTGTGGGGTACAGTATTGTTAGGTTTTGCCTATACAAACCTTGTACTGCCCTGTTTCTAGCCATTCCTCGTTCTTGTTCTCACATCCACTGGACAGAGAACTGATCCGCCCATTCACCTCTCCCTACGGTGCACCAGTTCTCTTCACTCCAAAACCAGATGGCAGTTTGCGGATGTGCATCGACTGCCGCGCACTGAACAAGCAGACAGTCAAAAACAAATATCCCATACTGAGCATAAACGACCTACTGGATCAACTGCGTGGTGCAACAGGATTCTCGAAGCTGGACCTACGGTCGGGTTACTGGCAGATCAAGATGGTAGACAACTCGGTCCACAAGACGGCGTTCCGTACCAGATACGGCTCCTACGAATACTTGGTGATGTTGTTCGGACTCTGCAACGCACCAGCAACGTTTCAGGCGGAGATGAATCACATCTTACGACCCCTGCTGGACGAGTGCGTAGTGGTGTACCTGGACGACATTCTCATCTACTCCAAAAGCATGAAGTAGCACGTGGAGCATCTGCGGAAGGTGTTTGAGATCCTGCGGAAAAACAAGTTCTACGTGAAGTTGTCAAAGAGCGACTTCGCCCTGAAGAAGGTGCAGTTTCTCGGACACATGGTGAGTGCCAAGGGCGTCCACGTGGACCCGCGGAAAATCGAAGCCGTCAAGAAGTGGAAGGTACCGGAGAACGTGAAGGAGTTCCAGCAGTTCCTCGGCTTCGCCAACTACTACAACAGGTTTGTGCCGCAGTACGCTAAAATAGCAGCGCCACTGACCGACCTACTGAAAAAGGATACGCCCTACAAGTGGGATACTCCTCATTAGCAAGCCATGGACCAGTTACAGACAGCACTTACTACAGAGCCAGTACTCATCCTACCAGGTCCAGACAAGGACTACATAGTTGAAGCAGACGCTAGTGACCAAGCAGTCGGAGCAGTACTGATGCAAGATCAGGGGAACGTTTTACACCCTATCGCCTACCTCAATAAGAAGCTACACGGAGCAGAACTGAACTACCCCATACATGACAAGGAAGCCTTAGCCATAGTCATCGCCTTCAAGGCGTGGATGTGCTATCTAGAGGGAGCCAAGACTACAGTCTATACTGACCACTGCAGTCTCAAATACCTGAAGTCGCAGCCGACGCTCTCACGACGACAGGTGCGGTGGGTGGACTTCCTAGAAACTCACTTCCACTACGACATCGTCTACAGGCCCGGGCTACACAACAAGGCAGACGCATTAAGCCGCCCCAGACATGTAGCAGGCATCCAGCTCGACGGGATGAACCCTCTGCTCAAGGGTCTATTCCAACATGGGTACTCCGTGGACGATGAACTGAACTGTTGTTGCGTGCCGAACTGCTGCCACAGGTTCCTCCAGAAGTTGTTTGTGATTTTTTTGCGGGATGTCGGAAACACCCTCCCTGGCAAGGAACTGCACGAGCCGCGGGTACATAGCGATCGGTGCATCCTCGTCGCACACAAACTGTATGCTCCTCATGAGTCTGATCACGCGCGCGCCCTTCGGGTCCGCTCTCTCATAGTCGTCGATCTTCTTTTGCGCCGCTAACTTGTTGAGGAGTCCCTTCTGACGGTCGATGCACTCCTCATG